TTATTAACTTAAAGATTTTATTTATTTATTACAACCCATGAGTTTTTAGAAGCCCCACAGGTGGGTTGGAATGCTTCCAGCTGACCACCTGCTAATCCCCCAACTCCCAATTTGAAGATTTCTTTTAATGGTTAGATTGATTGGAGAAATCTATGTGTGAATCCTGTCTTCTGGCAAATTTGGTGACCTGCATAGACAAGCTTTAAAACTATGTGTATTTTGTACTTTCTACTTTAAATCATCTGGAAGCTGGGAAGAAGTCATTCAGCAAACATTTATTGAGTACCTGCTATATAGCTGAGAGTGTTCAAACATGAAGACTAGAGCAGTGAACAATACACAAGATCTCTGCCCTCTTGGAACAGACCACAGGTACCAGGTCATACCAAAGCCAGGAATAGCGAGGCACAAGGCTGCCGGCCTGCATAGGGGGAGTAGAGACGTCCTCTCTGAAGTAGCCACATTTGAGCAGAGACCTACTGAAGTGATGGAGCCGTGAGCCACGGGTGTTATGTTGGGAAAGCAGATTTACATGAGATGTAAGGGTGAGCAGTTAGCTGATAAGGTGAGAATAAAACTGAGGCCAACTGGCAGCAGTGGAACGATGGAGTGGTCAGCCAGGGAAAAATGAAGTTGCAAAGTCCCAAGGAGTGATGTGGTGCGACTTTTGTTATAAAATCCTTCTAGCAGCTCTATTGAGATCATTCTGTGTGTATATCGGGGCGGGGGTGGGTGGGTAGGGGGAGCAGGACAGAATCAGGAATACGAGTCAGGAAGCTGGTGTAGTGGTGTGAGATGGACAACACAGTGACCTGGACGAGGGCTGCGAGCAGCAGTGGTGAGCAGTGGTTGGTTCAGGATGGAGTTTCAAGGTTGAGCTCAAAATATAAGATAATTTGTTATTAAGTGATATCCAAGCCGGGGATGGAACAGGTAGTCCTAAATGTTACTTCCCTTTTACTTTTAGTTCCTCTTGAAAATTGGTCAGGAGAAGATGGGCAAGCCTATAACCACATGTGTAATGCCAACCATTTGTACATTCTCTAAACATGTACTATATATACATCATACACTATGTTTATAAATAACTAATTTGCCTGGCATTTATTGGGCAGCTTATATGGGCTGGTCATCATCTTGGCAGAGTTACTAGTTTATTACAGGATAATAAAAAATAATTGTAATGACAAACACATAACATTTCTTGCATGCAGTTGGTGTTCTAAATGCTTCACAACAGCCATAGGAAATAGGCCCAGAAAAGTTAAAAACTTGTCCAGGCTCACAAAACTAGTAAGTAGAGGAACTGGGATTTGATTCAGGGTGTCCAGCTCCAAAGTCTTGGTTTTGTACTACACTACCCCACTTCTGTAGGTTACTGTGGAATGAATGGAATATGATTAAGTGCTCTATGAAGTAAATGCTGTCGGGATACAGAGAAGAGAATTTGTTTTTTGCTCAGTAGAGACTTTGTAATGGAAATGGCATTTAAGTTAGACTTCAAAGAATGGGAAAGATTTCAGCTGTGGAGAGATAATGATGATAGGGATGGAAATAAATAATTATAATGATGGAAGTGTATGTCTACTAAGCACTCTTAACACTTAATCTTCATCAGTACTGAGGTACCTTTGAGTGTTTACACTTTACGGGTAAGGAAACAGACACACAGACATATGCCTATGTTTACACTGCTAGGGAAGTGGAGGAGGTGGGTTTTGAGTCTGACACCAGACTGATGGGCAGTAGGTTAGGAGGGGCATTCCATCCCAGGGGTGGAGAATGATGAGCTTAGGCTCAGGTAAGATGGTATGAAGTATATTCAGTGAATGTGAGGGATTTAAAACTGTAAAATTTTGTTGCACATCCCAGTCATCTTTGGAGTGTGCTACAAGTACCTATTTCTGGGCCTATCATCAGCCATTGTTGCTGTACAGAAGATCCACAGACCAGTATCTTGGAGAGCCACTGATCCAGAGCACAGCATGCATGCCAGGGTGCCCAGATGGAGGTCAGACTATAGAGGGCTTTGATATTTTACGGAGTGTACACTTAGTAGCCTTTGATAGAATAGGCATGTCCATCTCTTTGCATCTGATGTGTATATGGGCTAGAAACGTCTGCAGAAAAGGACAGGATCTGTGAACACCCTTGAGTGGTCACATAGTTCAGAAGTCTGGTGACTGGGGAGTGGAGGTGACAAAGTGCAGAGAGGATGGTAGGGCCTGTGGGAGGGAGCCTCTTCCAAACCTGGAAAAGGAATCAAATTCATGTTCATCATGTTCAGTGAGAGCAGAGAGGTGGTTTTGGGTATTTGGTGTATCCATCCTTGATTCAACCACCCAGGAAGTATATGTGTATACTCCAGGGGAAGGAAAGGGTGTTGTGTATAAAACATACATGCACACACACCACAAAACTAACACATGGGCCTCTCAACCATTTCTATCACTACTGTCCTCTTCTGTCTCTTAAACGTTTCCTGAGCACTTTGCAGAGTTCTGGGATCCTAGTTATACATGTATAAGAAGAATGGAGGGATCCACTGTATTTTAATAGGTTGAACCTTCACAGAGGAGGTAATACCTGCCTGCTTGTTCAGAATTTTAAGTCATGCATAGGATTTTCCAAAATGTTCAGATTTGCAGGCAGATGGAGCATATGCCAGAGGTATGGGGCTATTAAACAGTTTGTTGCCTCAAGAATGATAATTAACAATAATGAGCTCAAGTGAGTGATGGTGTTAGTAGAATGTTTGGCATGGTTGAAATTGAGTCTGGAGCTAGTACATAGGAACACCTACCTTGCAGTAAATAATAGGAGGCATGGTATCTGGCACCTAATTGCTGTTTACATCAACAGTAGCTGCTATTATTGTTATTATTAGACTGAGACCGGACTGTGGTAGGACACGACAACGAGCTTAGACTTTATCCTGTTGAGGATGTGGAGGGATGTGCTAAATTTGGATTTTCAGTAGCTCACTGATACATGGAGACCGGGCTCAGGGATTTATTTGGAGACTGTTAGAACCCAGGCAAGCAATCTAATGAGCATCTGAACCATGGCAAGGTCGGTGAGGACAGAGGAGTGTATTAGTCAGCTTGGGCTGCTGCAACAATATGGTAGCACACTGTTTGGCTTAAAAAACAAACAGACACTTATTTTCAGGAGACAGGGGAATCCAAGATCAAGGTGGTAGCCAGTTTGGCAATCATTATTTCCATTTGCGATGTGCAAAAACAAATTAGATAGTATATTTATAAAATAATTGTGTAGAGCAAGAGCGGTATAGCTGACAATTAGTTTCGTATGTAGTGTTGAGGTTTAGCATTTTGCCTTTTTTTTTTGTACTGACATTTTGTCATTTTGAGTGTAACAGGGATACCTTATTGTCAAAGTCATTTCCTGCCTTGTTCTCCTGTTTATGTTTTTATTTCTCTACTTCTCCAGTGCTGATGAGTACAGTGTGTGCTTTCTCTTAGTTCACGTACCTATGTGTCAGTGTTTGCTTAGATTTTTAAAAAGTCAAAACAGTAGCTTTTAGGTTCCTGGCAGATAAGACATGCAGTGTCTGAGTTGTGCTTTTTGGAGAGCTATTTCAATATATGATTTCCAGAGACATTGCTTCAACACTTGTTCAGATCAATTTACCTGGGTGGAGCATGTGCCCTTTTATTATTTCAGCATATGTTATGCATATTCTATACTTGTTCCTTTTTATTGAAGTATGATACCCAGAAATGTGCACATAGCATACATTTTCACAAACTGCACACAGTCATATAAACAGCACCTAGATGAATTGACTTTTTAAAACATTTAATAATGTTGGTTGGGACAAAAATGAACCTATGTGAGTCTGCTGTATATAAAGGAAAATGTGACCTTTAAACTTTTTCCTTTTCCTTTCATGTTGATTTATTTCATGTTATCTATTGTATTTAAGAATTAACTATTCAGCTAGTCTTATCTTGTATATCAATATCGTACGTAAAATGTTACTGCATTTTTAAAAAAAGATTTTCTTAGAGGAAGATTGTATGTACCTCTCCAGCATGGTAGGAGACTGGTAGAAGGAGAGGGAGAACCAGACTCCCTGCTGAGCAGGGAGCCCAATGCAGGGCTAGGACCCAGGACTCTGGGATCATGACCTGACCTTGAAGGCAGACACTTGACCAACTGAGCTACCCAGGTGTCTGCCCTAAATGCTACTGCATTTTTGAAATGAAAATAATTTACCTGAGAAGTATGCTTAATTGTGTTTTTTAAGAGTCTTTGAAGAAAATATTAAAGGAGAAAGTTCATACCTAGTTACTGTTAAGAGAAATTATCTAAAATTTGGAAATCAAAAGAGCGTACAGCATGTTCTTTCATTGCCTTGTGCGGGGGTGTTATTTAACAAGCCCACCCTAGGGGTATTTAATTCTCATTTTGTGCTCTACTTTCTATTTACTGTTTAGTTAGAGCCCTGAACAGGGAAATTACCTGTTAGCTTATAGATTTTTGTCTGGTAGAGCAATAACTGCAAAAGTTATGGTTTTATTGTCCTGTAGGACATTAACTAGTCTTTGTAATCTAACCTACCAATCTTAGTCTAACACTTAAAAAAAAAAAAAAAGGTTTTTCTGATGGGCTGTCTAAACCTGTTCCATAAATGCTCCTGGAAACTAGATTTACCATCTTACTGGTCCTCTCTTTAATTAATGGGTTGAATAAATTATTTGACATGTTTGTTTTATATTTTGGGAAAGTCATTTTTTTTACCTTTTTGAAAATCATTATTGGTTTGACATGACATTTCCTTCCTGTATCTTCACACTCTACCTAGGAATTGACTTCTATTAGGGCATGCACAGTAATGCTAAAGATTCTAAATTCTGAGTGGAAGTAAGTATCCTCATTTCTGTTGTGTTTCTTCAGAGAAAGTTTCTAAGGTAAAACTAGGTTTTACTAACTAAAATGTCCTAATAAATTAATACTTTTTTTTTTTTTTGCAGGCTTAAGCACATAAAGTATTCACTGTGAAGAAAATAGCATTTTGAGACATTTTTCTGTTGCAAGTGATAGAGAAAAAACCAATACAGAAGTGCACTCTCCTATGCGTGTACCTCATTGTACTGCTTTTGATATATCAGCTTAGTAATGAAGCCACCATTATGTCCTCAGTCAATGAAGTAAATGTTGATATCAGAGATTTCCTAATGAGCATTAATTTGGAGCAGTACCTCCTACACTTCCGCAAGTTTGGTTTTAATACTGTGAAAGACTGTGCAGCAATAAATGATGGTGTGCTACACAAAATTGGAATATCACCTACAGGACACCGGAGGAGGATACTGAAGCAGTTACAGATAATCTTGTCAAAAATGCAAGATATCCCAATATATGCAAATATCCATAAAACAAAGAAGGACGATGAGACTTCAGAGGATCACCACGCTCCATCCTCTGGCCAAAATACCTCCATAGAACTTTCAGATACAGGTGGTGTCCAGGCACCTAGCCCGACGCACTGGGAGACTGTTATCAAAAATCTTGATCGAAATGACGTTAGTGTAGAAAATAGCCAGTCTCTTAAATCAGATGATAAGCTGTCTCTTCTTAAACACAACTTTCCCGTTCCAGAAGAAGAACCACACCTGAATTTGAGTTCTTTTCAACACACTTTATTTGGTAATGAAAATATTAAAATAGAATCTCTGAATACAGAGAAAACTACAGATTGCACAAGTGAAGAACAACAAACCATAAGATTTGATTTGCTCTCAGAAAATGCGAGCAAGCATCCTGATGCAGATCCTGAATGCCTTTCCTCCCTTGGCTGTTCAGACTCGGAGGCAAATTCTGGAAGTGGAACTAATGGTTTAATGGAAAGATCACCACCATCCCCATTCTTTCAATTTCAAGGAGAAATGGTTGTAAATGATTTGTATGTCCCGTCATCTCCAATCCTGGCACCAATGAGAAGCCGTAGCAAGTTGGTTTCAAGACCATCTCGATCTTTTCTACTAAGACATCGGCCTGTACCAGAGATTCCCGCATCAACAAAAGGCATTTCAGGGAGGTAAGAATTTTTTTTTAAATATTTTATTTATTTATTCATGAGAGACACAGAGAGGCAGAGACATAGGCGGAGGGAGAAGCAGACTCCCTGCAAGGAGCTGGATGCGGGATTCCATCCCAGAACCCTGGGATCACGCCCTGAGCTGAAGGCAGTCGCTCAACCACTGAGCCACTCAGGGGCCCCAGGAGGTAAGAAATTTTATGATGAGCCATAAGTATTAGATTGGGGGGGGGGGATTTAGTTACTTTTAATACATATTTTTAATGTTTGTAAGTTTGGCTTGTAATAATTTACCTACTCAACCAACCTTTTTTTTTTTTTCCTTTTAAAAGTAGAAAATGCCATTTCTTTTGTATACTATTTCTCAGAATCTGTTTCCAACTTATAACTGTGTGAGACTCCTTAGTGTTCTCCCATGTGATTGGGAGAAGTCCCCTTCCTTTATTTTTACCTGGCCGTTCCTTCCCATGCCTTCCTTTCACACCTGGTATTACATTCTTCCACAAGTGCAGTTCTCATATCGGAATTGCTGATTCTGTCTCCCCACTGGATCTCTTGTTCTTTGGCAGGGGCCACCATTCTAATGTTCGTATCTCCACTGCCTGACACTACATGTTGGCATGAATTAATAATTCAAGGTACATCTAGGGAGCACCTGCTTGGTACCAGTCCCTGTGCTAAGTGCAGAGGAGGTAGGGAGGGATAAAGGCGCCTGAGGAATAGTGTAGGAGACAGATGTAAAAACATGGTCACAGTACAGTGCGGTTCACTCGAACCGGAATTCTACAGGGGGGCCCACCAGCGTGTTGGACTGTTAGAACTTTGAAGTAACTGCTGAGTCTGAGAGCTGACTTAACAGCAGAGAGAGCTTTCATCCTTTTCTCAAAGTTACACCTAAAATAGTTGTGGTTTTCTCCAGGGTTGTGGTGGGATGTTTTTTTCACTGAAAGCTAACACTTGCCTCTCTACTGGGAGTCATGAGGTGGTTCAACTGTTAACTGCTGTGGTACAAAATGCGATTACAGATTTCCTGCACAGGCTCCAGCCTGGCAATTCTGCAAGATCCTCCTTCCCTGCTTGCATCGACTCTGCCCCTACTGCTGGCACTTTGCCTTTGGGCATCGTCTGTGGTAGTTATAGTGCAAGATCCCGATTGTGTTTGCAGGAGAAAATGTGGAAGTTTAGTATTTGCCAAAGAAAATATGGCAATTTATGGGATTGTTGATTTAAGAACCTCTCATTAGAACATAAACTCTTTGAGGGAAGAGGTCCTACCTTACTTCTCTTTTTCTTGGCATCCCTAGTGCCAACAGCAATGTGTAGACTTCCTTGGAAGTCAGTAGTGGTAACAGTGTCATTTATTAAACATGCTAGGTCTTAGTTTGGTTTATAATTTACCATGGGTTATCTTAATCTCACAGTAGCCCTGTGATATAGATATCATTCATCCATTTTCTTATAAGGTAATTTTTCTAGCATTACATGTGTAGTAAACTGGGCTTTCTTTCCGGTACATTAGACTCTAGAACCCACTCACTTTTTAAATCACTCATTTAGAAACTATACTTAAAAACTGTTGATTAGATATATGAGAATTGAAGTATTAGTTACAAATGTAGAAGATGACCAATTTCGTATGACACTAGTTTTAAAATGTTTTGCTAATTTTAAACAAAAGAAAGCAACTGGGAACCGATTGCTATGAGTACACACATCAAAAGTCTATCTTGGCCAGAACAGAATCCTTTTGGGAGTCATAAGGATAACTTCAGATAGGAAACCTTTGGCTTAAGTTTTAAACAAGATGTGCTATTTTTCATACAGTTTTGAAAATCCTTTGATGTTTATTCAGTTGTAAGTAAGCTTTATTTCCTATGAAAGTCTTGTTATTCACATTGTTTGTGAGTTAGGAGTCTTTGAAAAATGAGAATTGAAATAACGTTAAAACTATTCTTAAGTAACTGAGTACTGGGTGCTTCATAGTCCTGCCAGATTACCCCTGGTAACCCTGCTTCTTTGATTATGGCAGTAAATGGTACCTATGTATCTATGGTGTTCACATCATAAAGTGAGAGTGTAAACTAAATTATTTTCAGACTTCACAGTGTTTTTCCTTGTGGTCCCGGCCTGAATTGCAGATAGTAATTTTGCAAGATTTTAAAATGTTATAATGGGACTTTAAAAATAGAACTGTGGATTATATAACCTGAGATTCTCTGTAATCAGACAACATCTAGATGATATTTTAGTACATTTCTTGATGTACCAAATAAAATTTCTTCGTGGCCAGTGCTTTTAACTTTTTTTTTTTTTTTTTTTACTAGTTAAGCATTTTATGTATCTGTTAAAGGTATATATGTTTTCCTGGTGTGAGGCCCTTTGTTGAAATCCTCCCCCTTGCCTCTCCACTCTTTATTTATCTGACACAACTGACTCATGGTCAAATGGATTATCTTTGTCCTTGCTTTGAGTTTTTCCTGAATTCCTTACCTGCTCCTTTTCCTGGAAAGACTGGGCTGGATGGGGCTATTGGACAATGAATCTCAGGGTCTCTTTTTTGGCTTAAAGAGTCAGCTCTTCCCTTATCAGCTTCACCTGGACGTCTTGCAGAAACTGAGTTCCAGCATCTTGCCCTTTCCCTGGGTTTGACCTGTGACCCTGGAGGATTCTCATCAGTGCTCAAGGCAGGAAAGAAAGTATCTTTCAGCCACCTTACCCTTCCTGCCAGTTTCAAGGTTTTCATTTTTTCACGCAACTATTTTATCCTTGGGACCAGTCTTAAAGCCCTTCTCTTTTAGGTATCGTGTCTCTGAATATTTTGAGGGAAGGAAAATGAGCAGAGATGGAGGGAGGAGGATGATGGGCATCACTGCGTTGTGGTCAGAGAACATCTGTTATAGTTTAGGACTGTCATACTGTATTGATTGAGGGCCCTTTAAAAGTTTGAAATCTAAACCTGAAGTCTCCAGGCTTCTTTGAACTTTGTATTAAAAAATAGCAATCTAATATTTTTCCCTAGATAGACATGATGCAGACATTGGAGATGGTTTATACTATTTTAGACTTTAATGTTGAAATCTATATGAGCAGAAAATGTACAGTAAAGTACTAAGCAGTTGTTGGGTGCATCCAGTAAGAAAAACACAGAAACTCATCTGATCTTTCTTATGCTCAAGAAAAATTGCACATTTCATGTTACAATGAAAAAATCTATATTAGTAACTCAAAATTCTTTTTTAAAATGTGCTCCTATAAATTCTATGAAAAAATAGGCTGATTATTTCAATATTCATAAAATTTTGATGTCATCTAAATAAATCAATTTATATAAGTAATAGTTTGATTTATTCTCAGAGGATGATGTTATATGTCTGCTCCATACTTTTTATAAGTAAAAAGACATTAGGTTTATACTTTTTTATTTTTCATAATTAAAAACACCACTTTATTTTTTTAAAAAAAGTATATGCATATTTTTAGTTTTTGCTTAGATTCCAGTTAACATACGGTGTAATATTAGTTTCAGGTGTAGAATATATGATTCAGCACTTCAGTACAACACCTGTGCTTATCACAGCAGGTGCCCTTCCTGAATCCCCATCATCTATCCCCTCTGGTAACCATCAATTTGTTCTCTATAGTTAAGAGTGGCTTCTTGGATTAACTCCCTCTCCCCCACCCCTTTGCTCATTTGGTTTCTTAAATTCCACATATGAGTGAAATCATATTGTATTTGTCTTTTTCTGACTTATTTGTTTAGTATTACACTCTCTAGCTCTATCCATGTCCTTGTAAATGGTCAGATTTCATTCTTTTTTTTTTTTTTTTTTTTGTGGCTGAGTAATATCCTGTGGGCGGTGTGTGTGTGTATCTTTCTATATACATCACATCTTTTTTATCCATTCATCAGTTGTTGGGCATGGGCTGTTTCCATATTTTGGCTGCTGTTGATAATGCTGCTATAAATATTGGGTGCACGTGTCCCTTTGAATCAGTATTTTAGTATCTTTGGGCTAAATACATAGAGTTGCTGGTCATAGGATAGTTCTATTTTGTACTTAATGAACAGCTTCCATACTGTTTTCCAGTGGGGCTGCACCAGTTCGCATTCCCACCAACAGTGCAAGAGGGTTCCCCTTTCTCCACATCATTGCCAATACTTACTGTTCTTGTGTTGTCAATTTTAGCCATTCTAACTGGTGAGAGGTGATCTCTCATTGCGATTTTGATTTATATTCTCTGCCTGATGATGAGTGATGTTGAGCATCTTTTCCTGTGTCTATTGGCTGTCTGGATGTCTTCTTTGGAAAAATGTCTGTTCATGACTTCTCATGAAAAAAATAAATTTTGAGCTACAACTTTGGCTAGTTAATTAAAAAAATGAGAATAATGATCTAGACTTTTGTGTTCTAATCCTTTTGTAATTATTTATTCTAATCCTAAGGACATTTTTTGGAACTTCTTGGATTGAGACTTAATTATCTCTGCCTTGTAAATTTCATATTCTTGATCTGTGCTGTAGTTAATACACTCTAATGTTTTCTGAAAGCAGATTTGTGTGTTTTAGATATTATGTAACCTCAAGGCAGTTTATTATTTATTATTTGTTTATTATTATTATTATTATTATTTATTATTATTTAAAATTTATTTATTCACAAGAGACACACACACAGAGAGAGAGGCAGAGACACAGGCAGAGGGAGAAGCAGGCTCCATGCAGGGAGCCTGATGTGGGACTCGATCCTGGGACTCCAGGATCATGCCCTGGACTGAAGGCGGCGCTAAACTGCTGAGCCACCAGGGCTGCCCTCAAGGCAATTTTAAACTGCTGCCTAATGATTGTGGTTTTCTTTTGAATTCATTTCTGTATTGACCTGTAGTTAGTCCGTTGTAGTTAGTCTGTTATGAATTGCATTAAAAAAAAAAAACATTCTGTGAAACGATGGTCCATCTATAGGGTGTAGTTATTTTTTGGTGTGGCTGCCCTAAGTAGCAGGTAAGTATAGATCATAAAGGGAGATCTTTAATTAACCTTCATAGCAGTGCTTTTCTTGGTAGTTTTAGTAATTAAAACATATGTGGAAAAATAACTTCTGTATGTATGCTTAATATTCACCCTAATCAGTTATTTTTTTTGCAACTCGGTGTTTTACTTAATATTATTATTTTTTTACTTAATATTATTTTTGAGATTTGTCCACATTGATGCACATATTCTATGCAATAACTGCTGTATAGTCTTACTAGGTTGTTGATATGTTTTCTCTATCAGAAATGAAAAGTGAATATTTTAAGGACTTTAAGAAATAAATGTGCACAGAAGGTTTACTGGGAGGACCAACCGTTTTTTACTCTAATACGTATTATAATTGGTTTATTCTTGCTTGTTTATGTTGTGAAGAGCACACTTTAAATGTTTTAAAAGCATTTTTTCATGAATCCTCATGATATTCCTAGGAAGCAGGTGCTGGTTTTTATTCCCCTTCAATAAATGAGGAGACTGTTAGGTAACTTGACCAAGGTCACAAAAACATAATTAACAAGAGAAGGTGATAGCTACTGCTTTTCTTTATGGGTTTTTAATTTTTGTAAATCAACCATGCTTTATATTTCAAATTTAAAAGTTTTTAGGATAAGTGGTGGGAAATCAATAGGCAGAAAGAGGCAGAAATGAGGAAAAAGTGTGAGCTTTGCCTCTTATTAGCTGTAGGACTTGGGCTAGGAGAGTCTCCTTTCTTTATTGGTGGGATTAGGACACCAAGTCTTATTGCACAGGTATCTTATGAGGATGAACGATGAGATGCAGATACATAAATTCCTAACATAATGCTTTGGGCATAATAGGTATTAGAATATAAAATAGCTTGTGGTGATTTATTCATAGATAAATGAGAATATAAATTACTGATTACTGATTTTCAAAACAACTTATTTTTCTGTATTGAGCTAACCTTTCATTAACAGTAGATCAAATGAAGTTTGTTGATAGATTTGGTAATTGCTTGCAGGTGGATATTTAGCATAAGAATTAATTAAAATCACAAACTTTTTTTTTCACATTTTATATGGCTAATAGTGAAACCAGCAAAATGCTTTAAAATAGCACTAATGAAAAAAAATAAAACAAAGAAAAACCCCACCACTAATGGTGTTTTATATTTTATACTTAAAGAGTAAAGTATATTTTTTATACTTAAAAAATGTAAAGTATATAAGTATATTTTTTATACTTAAAAATGTAAAGTGTATTTATATAGTAAAACCAGCAAAATATGCTTTAAAACGCCACTAATGGTATTTTATATTTTATACTTAAAAAATATAAAGTATATACTTAAATTCTAATTCCTTTTCAAATATGTTTTCAGTGTATGTAAAATGTTAACTTCTCATTAATGTTATTCAATATTTTATATATTAAAAATATAATTTTCTTTTTTGGTTTTGGTTTTTGTATTTAAGACACATTTATGTATTCAAAGGTTGCAAAGATTTTCTTGTGTGTATTTCCAGTTTTAGAGCTTTAGCATTGACATATAGGTCTAAACTCCAGTTCAGGTTAACTTTGTATATGGTATGAAGTAATGGTTGGTATTCGCTTCATTTTTGCATTGAGATAACCAGTTCCAGTCTTGAAAAGACTATTCTTTCCCCAATGAATTGCCTTCACATTTTGCTCAAAAACCGGTAGACCGTAGACATGTGGGAGTTAGTGGTACTTTTATTCTGTAACATTAATTTATGTGATTATCCTTTCATCAGTAACACACTGATTTGACTGCAGTAGGTTTAGATTAAATATCGAAATTGTATAAATCTTCCAATTTATTCTTCTGAATATTTTTACCATTCCAGGTTATTTATATGTGGATATAAATTTTAGTTACCTTGTCAATTTCTTTTTTTTATTTTTTATTTTATTATGATAGTCACAGAGAGAGAGAGAGAGAGGTGCAGAGACATAGGCAGAGGGAGAAGCAGGCTCCATGCACCGGGAGCCCGACGTGGGACTCGATCCCGGGTCTCCAGGATCGCGTCCTGGGCCAAAGGCAGGCGCCAAACCGCTGCGCCACCCAGGGATCCCTACCTTGTCAATTTCTACATAAAAGCTCGCTCGAATTTTGTTCGAGGTTATGTTGACTGTGTATATCAATATGTGGAGACTTGACATGTTATCGATAATTGAGTCTTCCAATCCATTAGCACAACATATCTATTTATTTTGGTTTTTAATTTTTCAATGTTACATGGTTTTCAGTGTGCTGATTATGTTTTGATAAATTTACTCCTTAGTATTTCGTGTTATGGATATTATTATAAAAGTTGTATTTCAAACTATTTTCCCAGTTGCTCATCATGAGTATTTAGAAATACTATTGATTTATTAACACTTTCCCCTTATTGTGGGACCTTGCTAAACTTATTAATTTGGGAGTCTTTTTGGTAACTTCTTAGGATTTTCTACTTGATACCTTCTGCTTATAAAAGATCTTCCTTTCCAATGTACATGCCTTTTCCTTCATTCACTTACTTTGCACTGGCTGAGACCCTCTGAAATAATGTGAATGTAAGTAGTAAGAGCAGACCTCCTTGTCTTTCTTAATCTTAAGAAAAACCATTCAGCCTTTAATATGAATTATGTTGTAGGTTTTTCATAAATGCCCTTTATTAGGTTGAGGAAGTTTTCTTCCATTCCTAGCTTACTGAGAGTCTATTATAAATGGATGTTGAATTTTGTTCATTGGTTTTTCTGAGTCTGTTGTCATTGAAAATGTGATTTGTTTCCTCTTTCATTTTCTTAATTTGGTGAATTACATTGAATTTTTTCATGTTAAACCAACTTTGCTCTTTTGGGCTAAAGCTCATCTGATTATAAAATATTATTATTTTTTATAGGTTGTTAGATTTAATTCCTAATATTTTGTTAACGAGTTTTGCATCTGAGTTCGTGAGGGATATTTCTCTAACAGTTGTCTGTGTTTTTGTTTTTGACTGGCTTTGTGTCTGTAGTACTGACCTTATGGAATGAATTGGGAAATAGTTCCTCCTTCCCTATTTTCTGAAAAAGTTCACATAGAATTGGTATTATTTCTTTCTGAAATGTTTGATGGAATTAACCAGTGAAGTGTCTCGGCCTAGAGTTTTTTGTAGGTAGGTGACTAATTACTAAATTCAGTTTCTCTGACAGAGGGATATTAAGATTTTTGTATTTATTCTTTATATAGTTGATAATTTATATCTCAGGATTTTTCAGTTTCATCTAAATTGTTGAATTTATTGACATAAAGTTTTTTCTTAATAATCTGTAATTATCTCTTTAATGTTTGTAGGATTTGTAGTGATGTCCTGTTTTTCATTCCTGGTACTGGTAGTTCTCTTCTGTCTTGCTTTTATTTTCCTTCCCTGAGTTTTATTAGTTTTATCAATCTTTTTGAAAAACTAGCTTTAGTTAAAATGACTTTAAAATTTTGTCTATGTTTTATTTCATTGGTTTCTCTTCTTTATATCCTTGCTTGTAGTTATTTGGGCAGATATATATTTAAGAGACATTAAGGACCCTGTCTTGATCCTTACGTTTAGATGGAAAAATAGAACTCTTTTGTATAGTAGTGGGTATTCATTATAGCTGTTTCCACAGTGTTTTCCTCTGTCATTGCTTTAATGTTATATTCTAATTAATTGCCTAAAATCTTTCTCTCCCAAGGCAGCAAATTTTTTGAGAAAAGGTCTTGTGTACTTTCATACTGTGCCCATGGAGTCAACATATTTTTGACTCAGTATTGTAAAGCTAATGATGAAAAGACTACATAAATATTGAAATCTAGTTAGAAAATTAGTTTCTCACAAGGGGTATGGCTAGAAGTTTTGAAATTCCAGTGTACATACTAGCATTGGGCAACTTCATTCGTTTACTTTTTGTGAATTATAAATGTGTGAGGCAAATACTTGTAATACGCAGTGAGGTCTTTTCAAGGCTATTTAGAAAAAAAGTTATGGAATTCAGCCATTCTATTAAAATCAGTTAAAATCTGTTTATTTTTGAATAGTATTTTTTTTCTACTTAGAAGAATGTTTGTCTCTATAATTCATCCTTTACTCGAAATAGTAACTTAAGTATTTTTGCTTATCTATTTTAATTTATCTGTTTTCCACCTTTGCTTTAAGCTATTACCGTGAGAGAAGAAATGTTGCTACCTCAACTGGAAAGTCTGTGACACAGGAAAGTGAGTCTTTGCATTTAAAGTCTTTGTAAATTAGCACTCATTTGACAATCCTAAATATGTGAAAATTGTGATTTAAAAAAAATGCCCACCTGTGGAATAGAGAATAATGAGAATAACTCTCTACTAGGGTTCATAATACCTTAGATACTTTTAAAGATGAGTGAATAAAAGATAGTAATATATACTTAGACTCCTAAACATCTGCATATACCACTGTAAAAAGATTTTTTTTCACAAGGCTTAATTTATCATTAGCCACAGTTGAAGGCATTTAGCTAAATTAAGTGGTTTCTGACAGTCTGAGCTACAGGACATAGATTTATGGAAAGTGATTTTACCATGGTAACTGGAAAGGGCTGACATTAGGTAAATTGATCATTGACAGAGGCTTTTCTTTTTGAAAATTCTGCTTCTATAAGTTCAGGAACATTCTTCTTAACGATAAGATGGCAAACACTTGGTTACTGACCCTTTAAAATTTTCTTGTTGTAACAAAATGCAAGTGTTGAAAATTCTTTCTTATAAATCTGTATAATTCGTAGACAATAGAAATTCTCTTGAAATAACTTTTTTACAGGTGTGTTATTGGCTGTGATGTTAGATTATATTAAGTGGATTCTGGTATTTTGAATATAATACCTTGCTGTTATGTTGGTGAACTTTTAATAATTGGCAGATAGTAGACCAATACTCATTTTTTGCCACTAATACTGTTGTCTTTTTTAGGAATTAACATTATAAATGGCATCATTACTGTTTGCATCATATGTGGAAAACGTGCATAGTTATATTAACGTGGGTTTTAGAGGTTAACAAGGACATATATGACACATCACACTTTAAGAAATAGTAATATGTTTTGGTTGTGAAGTGAGAGGTATACACAGTGAGTGCTACATCAAGAAGACCATGGGAAGAGTTGATTTGGGGGTGAAAATTAAAAGCATAATTTTGGACTCTCAGAGAAGAAAGATTATATAAGTTGTGATATGGCTATAAAATAATTAAACAATTACCTTTAAAAATAATATTCCACATTATTCACATCTTTTCATTCTCATTCTATCATTTCTCCAAAAGATTCAAATGAGGAAAATTCATCTTCCATTTTTCCTTATGGAGAGACCTTTCTCTTCCAGAGACTAGAAAATTCCAAGGTTAGTTCCATACAGTTTCATTTTTTCCATATCCAAGTGTTTGCACCTCTGTTTATATTTGCCTCTTCATTTTCCTTTAAAGTCTTTGAAGAATGAGTTACTTTTTTTTTTTTTTTAAGAATGAGTTACTTTGAAGGGAGACATTTCTAGTCAGTAAAATTCTGTTCAGTAAAATCATGGTGAATGTGTTTCTTTATACTTCATAAAAACATGTTCAATTTCAGGAATACAGATGGCTGGATATACGGAATTTTCCATTTTTCAGAATTTTCCAAAAGATAAGTTAGTTTAAAGACAAACTCCCAGAGAAAGCAAAAGCAAACAAACAAAAATCCCCTTGATTTTGCTTTTGCCTTATACCCAAATATCTACTTCTATTTACATATCTTAATTATTTTGTTTATTAGCCTCTGAAGTGCTTGTGCTCTTTTTTGTATTTTATTTCCTGGTTGCAATAGAAGAGGAGTTGGAAGACAAAAAGTGGCAAAGTAAAAGTAAATAAATTTTGTTCTTGGTTGGCATCTTCTGTTTTTCTTGATTGAAATGATAAATTATTAATGTTTTAAATATAATATTGGAAAAGACATCAAAAGACCTTTTTTAAATATAGTCTCACTAGTTAAGTTACTTTTACCAAAATTGATCTAAGCAATTAGACATTTTCGTAATAAAACTAAACTTAGATATTGTGGGTGTTTGTAGAATATTGCTATTCTAAAAAATGTGTGTGTGTATATGTATATTTTTTATTTTTATTTTATTTATTTTTATTTTTTAAATTTTTGTATATGTATATTTTTAATAGAAGAGGTCTATAAGGAATGAATTTTGGACCGATGAAGAAACACTCAAAGGGGATACAATTACTGAAAGAAACTCTTTTCTCATCAAATCAAGGTACGAGTCATGGCTGATGATGATTAATTCTTTTGAATAAATGTTATACGTGTTGATCCTTGCTCATACTATATATCTAAGAAAATAGTTGACATTGGTAAGTTCAAATCTTTCTACATGTTTCAGTATTGGCATTAATGCAATTAATGTCAGTTCAATTAATTCAGTATTCATATTAATTCAATTAATAATTGAATTTAGAATCTGTAAATTGAGTGCATAGTGATATTCTGCAGCAGTTTGTTTGTTTTCTTGGTTGAAACAAGTCTTCCTGTTCCAAAATTGCAGATACGTGGTGCCCTCAACTGCACGTTAAAGATGAGAAGTTATGTTAATATGAAGGATGAAAGGGGCAGTACAAAAAATATGACTGAGGTGCAGAATTTTTATAAATGTAATATACTCTTTTTACTGGAAGTTCAGCATTGGCAAGTGGCTTGGCAATTATCCAGTTATTTGGATCACACGTGAAATTAAACAGAGTTTGTGAGGCACCAGCCTAAATTTTAGTTTTCTCAGCTTTATTAGGACTTGGTGTACTACAATATTACATAATGTTCATTTTAGTTTTGATTTTTATCTTTTCCTTTCCAAGGCTGACATTGTTGTGAGGTTTTTTTTGTTTTTTTGTTTTCTGTTTTTTAAGAGGTGGGGGAAGAGAGGGAGGGAGAGAATCTTAAGCAAGCATCACATCCAGCACAGAGCCTGAGGTGGGGTTCAGTTCCACGACCCTGAGATCATGACCCGAGCTGGAATTGAGAGTTGAACGCTTAACTGACCGATCCACCCTGGCCCCCCAGTTGTGGGTTTTCTTAAATTGAAACTAAATAATTTGAGGACCTTCAGTTAGCATTTGATATGAATGTATTATAATGCAAAATGTGGAAGGGGCCAGGTTAAATCATTCTTTTAATGAAGGAACAGTTTTTAGAATGCTGTATCTGTATAGCGTAGGATGTAATTTGACCCCTGTCTGTATCTATTTCATTGATTAGCAAAAACTTCTTTGTGATGAGTTTTATTATACCTAAATGAGTGAATCTGTTTTGTCATTTCTTCAGTCCATAGCAATATGCTTAGCTATTATGAAATGTGTTCCAGTGAATATTACAGGTTATACTGCTTTTACCTTTTAATTGTACCTGACTCTTCTTCATTTTCTGGGCAACACTGTGGTGCAGTTTTTCCTCATTCATATTGTAAAATAGTACAAAAGCTTTCACCAGTTGGATATACTCACTGTTTTTTTATTTTATTTTATTTTATTTTATTTTATTTTATTTTATTTTATTTTATTTTATTTTATTTTATTTTATTTTATTTTATTTATTTTATTTTATTTTATTTTATTTTATTTTATTTTATTTTATTTTATTTTATTTTATTTATTTTTTATGTATGTATGTATGTATGTTTTTTACATTATGATAGAACATAGAATTCTTGGAATTGAATAGTAGAGAGCCAGAGAGGGGCAACAGGTTTGGAAGTAGTATCTCCACATAGATGAGGTAGTGGTTCATGATGTGGCCCAGGGACTAGCGGTTGGGCTGGCTACATAATGGTGTTGGTGAAGATGGGAAATCGTGATGCAGAGAATATGGTCAGTCTCCACCCTTACTACTGATCTGCACCCAACCCCCCAGAAAAATGATTGGATTAATGATCAGATGAATGACCTATGAGAAAAATGGTATTTCTAGCAGTGTTCAAATATATCTTAGTATAATTTGAGATTTCTATTTAATATTTATGACGGAATTTAAAAATTATCAGATGGGTGAATTGAACTCCTAAGAGTTTTCTGACCTTAAATTTCTGTGATTTCAGGGCACCTGTGTAGCTCAGTCAGTTAAACATTGGTCTCTTGATTTCTGCCCAGGTCATGATCTCAGGGTTTCATGATCTTAGGGTTGTGGGATTGAACCCTACCTGGAGCCTGTGCTCAGAGGGCAGTCTGCCTCTTTCCCTCCCTCTCCCCCAGTTTGTGAGCTCTCTCTTAGAACAAACAAATCTTAAAAAAAAAAAAAAATTGTGATTTGTATAAATCTACAATGTAACCAATGGTTTAAATGACATATGACACTTTGAAATGTTAACACCATTTATTTCCATTTAGCATATATGATAACAAGAAGGAGAATATAAGTGAAGACAAAGTGGAAGATATTTGGATACCTCGAGAAGACAAAACTAATTTTCCAAGAGACTCAGCTTCAGAATCAGAATATTCAACAGTAGAAGAATGCTTTCAGAGTTTAAGAAGAAAAAACTCAAAGGCATCTAAAGCTAGGACTCAGAAAGCATTGACTGTGGACCCTGTCAATAGGCACAGTTATCCATTAAGCTCAACAAGTGGAAATGCTGAGTCCACAGTCGTTTCTTCAAATGCAATATCTCCCTATGCCTGTTTTTATGGATTCTCTGCAAGGAAAGTTAAATCGGGATGGCTAGACAAGCTCTCTCCTCAAGGGTATGTAGTTACTCTTTTTTTTTTTCCTCTAAGTAGCATATTTGTAACTGTTCAAGTTTATGCATTTCTAAACTTGCTAGGTTGCTGCTACTCCTCATCCCTCCCCCACCACCATGCACACAGTTTTTAGGGACTTTCAGTGCACTTTTGCAAATGTTGCTCTTTAGACATAAGGAGGAACATGTGCAGTGTACTATGTGGAATGATGGGATAAGGTTCTGAACAGCAAATTGAAACGGAAAGTTGCAATTTCACATCTAGATTCTTAATGTTAGTTTCTGACATTACACTAAAATGCACTGTGTCCCAATTTGTGGCAAAGAAAAACAACACAGATTGAGTTGGTATTACTACGCCCACGCTGTTTGGCTTTTGCTCATATTATAACAGTGTTCTGTTTGGGAATACAAGTCTTAATTGTAGTTAGGGAAAGTACATCATTGTTAGATTTTGGGCTTCCCTGTTACTGATATATTGTTTTGATTTTTGTATTTTGCATAGAAGTCAGAGTCCCTTGAATATTTTACTTTTAAAACATTTGTCATTTCAGATGTTTATAAAGAAACTTCTGTCCCTTAGGGGTTTTACAGTACTGAGAAATATTTGGGACGGGATTATATTTAATTAGAATTGTTTTCTGGTGTCCTAATATTTGAATGTCATTTTGAAATACTTACTTGAAATATTCCTCATGAATTATTAAGTTATTTTGGGATTAAAGCTCTTGAGTTTAGGTAATTGATGTGGTGAGTCCCTACAATGTGCTGGTTTTCTTTACTCTTCTCCCAAAAATGTGCATCATTTCTGGAAAGCCTTGGTTGGACCTAAAATAAATTTTATTAGGAGAATATTACCAGAAGAAGCATTAATTGACTAGTGGGAAACAGATATTATATTTCTAAAGAAAGTGAAAAAGCCTCATACTTTTATGGTTAGTAATTATACGGTTAATACTTTATACCATTGCATTCTTTTAGCAAATTAGATATTGAATAAACCGAAACAGTATTTCTTAGTTATCCTGTCTTTTTTCTGGTTACATTATGATGACAGAGTAGTCAACTATGACTACTTTTCAGTCAGTCATCAGTATTATTGTTAACTACATAGTCTAGTAGCAAAGGTATGAATAAGCACTCAAAAGTAGAAGCAGGTGGCATAAACAGCTATTTTGAATATTCTCAAATCTTTCACTTCTGTAAAATTGAAGTGTTTAGGGAGATCCTAGTGCTTTCTCCACTTACTACCGGAAGATTCAGCAGACTCTGGCTATAGAGCCCCCAGCAGCTGTGGTTTCCTGCATGATCTCTGGTGGTACCTCACTCTCTGCAGGGTTGATATGTTTATGCTCCAGGCACACTGAAAAAACTTCACCATCATTGGCTACCTCCGGGACATTTAGAACATTTTTCCTCTCTCTTTATCAGAACTCAGATTTTCCATCCTTTCGATTCTGAATCTGCCTAGGGTTAGATGCTGTAAGTTGTCTAGATTTATGTTTTTCCATTTTAGGGGAAATAATTGAGTTTTCTGGCTTAACAGTTTCCCCCTGGATACCGGGATGAATGAAGACTGTGAAATTAAAGGAACTTGTTATATCATCAAGAGATTAAACTCTTCTCCATGATTTTATTGCTATGATTTGAAAAGAAGTATTTGTTACTGTCCAAGAAGCATGTATTGTTTATTAGATCAGAAGTGAAGTAGAATCTTAATTTCTCCCTTTCCTAATTGGGCTCTGTATATTATTGTAAGGATGTTTAAGATGCTCATTAATTAGACAAAATGATGCTTGCCTACTCCTTAAGTAGAGGTTCCTGAGCTTTATTTAACTCATGGTCACATGTCTGTTTGGTGCAGGTAGCACTCCAGTAGATGGCATTCTGAATTCCAGAGAGAAGGTATCAGCAAACTTTTTCTCTTTTTTTTAATATATTTTTTTAAGATTTTATTTATTTATTCATGAGAGACACAGAGAGAGAGAGAGGCAGAGACACAGGCAGAGGGAGAAGCAGGCTCCATGCAGGGAGCCTGACGTGCGACTCGATCCCAGGTCTCCAGATCACGCCCTGGGCCAAAGGCGGCACTAAACCACTGAGCCACCCGGGCTGCCCAGCAAACTTTTTCTGTAAAGGATCAGATAAAAAAATATTGTAATCTGTATACAGCCTCTCTGAGATATCAATGGGAAATGAGCAACTCGGCAGCTATAGCATGAAAGCAGCCACAGAGAATATGTAAACCTATGAATGAGGCTGTGTTTCAGTAAGGCTTTATTTATAAACACATAATGGGCGAGATTTGGCCTGTGGGCCATTTAGGCATAAAACAGATTAGAGAGTTGGCCAGAACCTTATACCAGCTTCTTCTATCACCCCTGGACCCCAAGTATAAAATTATAACAGGACAGATTACAAAATAGGGAAACTACTTTCTATTATTCTAATAAACATAGAAGTCGTAAGAAGCAGGAGCCCTCTTTGAGGACCTTTGCACTTGTTCTTTATGCTTGGAATGCTCTCACCCATGGAGCAACATGGCTTGTACCCTCTCTCCCTCTCTTCTTGCTGTAATGTCTCCTTTGCATTGAGGTCCTGAACACTAAAGTTAAAATTGTCACTACCCCTCTCCCCACTACTCTGCAACTCCCTTAATTACTTTGTCTTTCTCTGTGAGTCTCATGTGACAGATGATTTATTTTATGAACACTCCATGGGGATAGTCATCTGTGTTGGTTTTTGTTTGCTCTGATATCCTCAATAGCTAGAATGTAGCCTGGCGTGTGGCAGATGCTCTTAGTATTTGTTGTTGAATGAGATCAGTGAAAAAAACAAGCATTAGATGTATTTTTTCTTTAAATTTTTAAAAAAATAGGCAGCTTTTTTATATGTAAGGATTTTATAATAAAAACAGCTCTAAACACTATATTGGTTGAAAATCTGGAGGTGCGTTGAGAGTACTGTGTACATTAACACTGCAATGGACTATCAGTGTTATTTTTATGGTTCTGTTTCCCTCTTAAAAACATGTTTATCAAAACACAGTTTAAAAACAAAGAACCACACTCAGTTATCCTTCTCTAAATAGTGTTTAAAACTGTCTTCAGTCATGAGGGCCATTAAACAAAATAATTAAACTTCTAATCTGAGTTTATTTCACATGAGATTATCTATTTGCTTTTGTAATGGAAATGCCAGTCCTGAATCAGTGCATGGTATTTGAAAACTGCCTAAGATTTAGTAAGAGTGTAATTGTGTAACATCATGCGGCTGAAGAAATACTAAAGCATTTATAGTTGTGCTTAAAGTATGAACATTCACTTAGCTATTTGAATGATTTAATTATGACATCACCTGATTCTATCAATTTCAAATATTGTGTGGAAGGAACTTAATAAAATGTAGACCCTGGGTCTGTTATTAGTGTTTCAAACAGGTCAAGCAGATGAAAAACTTTAATAAATGATACCTGTTTTAAAAAAGAACTCACTGGGTTTTGAGGATAAAAAGGCAAGTCTTTCTCCCTCCACTTTCCTGTCTGTAACTAATAAGCCGAAGCTCTTCACTCAGTCTGAGTGAGTGCAAATATGGAAGCTGGATAGAATTTATTTCAGCATTTCCCAACTATGTAACTCAGAAGAAGAATCCTAGAAGTTGGTATAAAGAAAGGCAGATGTGGTGAATGTGCTGTACCCCTTCTGGGAGATGCACATAGTGATATATCCAAGCATAATGCAACAAAAGAACCTTTTTGACATTAAAAAAAAAATATTTATTTAGAGCAAGAGCCCGTGAGCAGGAACAGGATGAGGGGCAACGGGAGGGGGAGAAGCAGACTTCCTGTTGAGCAGGGAGCCTGGTGTAAAGCTTGATCCCAGGATCCTGGGATCATGACCTGAACCTAAGGCAGACACCCAACTGATTGAGCCAGCCAGTCCCCCCCTCCCCCTTTTTGGCATTTTTAACTTGCTGTTTTGTGAAGATGTTTGTATGTTCAGTATAACGCACCAGCATTTTTATAAAAATTGCCATGTATCTTGAGGCATTCACATTTTACTTGAGAATATGTTTTGTGACTTTATTTCTTACCCACCTGAATACCTCATTAACAAATTAACCTTTTCACCGTGGAGAGGCCTTGTGTGATAATCTGAGCCTAGAATGGCAGAAGCTGAACATGTGAAGCTCCCTCAGCAATTCAAATATATGATATGCTTAAGAATTAGTGGAGGGATACAGAGATATGCAAGATGTGTGTGTTCCTTGTCTTTTTCGTGTCTTCCATTTAGGAGAGAGAAAAGGAAGCCAGTTAAAATAAAACTGAAAAGTCCTCAAGGGTAGAGTACAGAATTGCGAAGTTACAGAGGGGTTGAGAAAACATTCCTTCAAAGATCTTCTAGGCAGGGGAAGTAGCAGTTTAGTTGGCCTTTGGAAAACAGATAAGATTTTAACCAGCATTTTTAGAAGAAATACTTTTCTGGCTGGTGGGAGTGAAAAGGCACTGACGTGATAGCTGGAGTTACTGAAGTCCATCCGATGGATAACAGGGGTTGGCTGGGTTATTTTATTGGAGACTCAAGGTTGGGTTCTAGAACCAGGAGGGAGAAACTGCCAGTGCGTTGCCTGTTCAGGTTGAACAGAGATCTAAGGAGAATGAAAAGGCCAATGGTCCAAATACCAAGAAAAGATCAAATCCCAGATAGGAGTTAGGAGTCAGATCACCCAGAAGCCAGTAGTCCATGAGCGGGTGGGAGAGCAGAGCTTTCCCTGTTGACAATCAGCTTTGTCAGTGATTGATTTCCCAGCTTATACACAACATCTCCAAGGCTGCTTGTGTGTGGAGCGATTCCTCACCCTGGTACACAATTGTGGGAGAGCCTCGAGTTTCCTGGGACTGCTGGCCTCTGGTTGGCCCTTCAGCGAAAAGCAAATGCAGTGCAAAGTTGACATGTCTCTCTCTGACCGGTTTGTTAGGGACCAATCACCGCGTTGAACTTCAAG